TGTAACATTTTTTTGATGTACTAGTTTCTGAATTGTGTACTATTTTGATTTGTGTGTATTTTAAATTGTTATAGTATACTGATTCAGATTTTCATGGTTTATAAAGCTTTTTACCCAAGTTTTCTGTATCTGTTGGATTGAATTGCCTGTATGGCTTTTATTTCATTAGAGATTCATCTAATAATACATAGTCCTCGAAAAAGTAAATATTCTCAAGTTTTCCATATGGATAATCTATTATGTTTCTTAATATTATCTTCTCGACTATTTCATTATTGATGTAATGTAACAAGGGAGATAATTCCACATATCACCAAAGTGGCATCATGTTCCGAAATATAACAGTAACTCACTACTGATGTGTAAGTCTTAAAAAATTTTTCTTGCATTTTCGAATAAAAAATAGTGAAAAATTCAAATAAGAAAAAGAGCTGGATTTTTGTATCACATGTGATATGTTATGATCAAACAGTATGTGTCTGGCCATTTGGGGGCTAAGGCATTGAGACTTGAACATTGTTCTTAAGTACAAACTTAAGGAGGGAACTAATGTCTTTATTTCTTGTCTTTATTTCATGTATGCATTCTGTTGTAAAATAATTTATTTATCATGAAGTGCTTTCAGATTCATAGCGTAATGGACGTACGACTACAGTTTGAGCACCATATTGCAATTTATGTATTGAGTATCTTTGAAGATGTATCAGATAGGCAAACTGAGGAATTTTGTGCTCAGATTGTTGTTCTATGGCTTGAGCACTGCAGTATCATCAAATCAAAAAGAAAAATAGTCTTTAACCCTTTCGCGAGGCACACCTTTGTTTAAGACACTCGTGCAGGACGGAAGGAACTCGAAGGCAGTCATCGCACAGGACAGGGGTTTTACATTGCTAAGTCTAATTATATAAACAAAATCGGGAGGGGGGAGTTTCACTTCTAGCATCGTAATTTTTGGTACCATTTTAGATTATTACTTGAGTTCTTATGTATGTTAAAATTAGCATTTGATAACCTTTTTTCTTTATTTTACATGAAAATATATTTAAAAAATTGCTTATCTTGTAAAATAATTTTCGGAAGCTCTATTCAAATTATTCCAAAGTTTAAATTGATAAAATTCATCAGTAAGGTTTAAAATTAATAAAACAACACAATAAAGACTATTTACAGTATGAAGTAATAAAATTTAAATTGAAGACTGAGTGTGTTAAATCTCGAAGCATGGAGGAGTATTACTTTCTAATTCTTAGAAGAAGTATCACTTTCTTACTCCGTAGAAAATGAATCATCATTCTCATCTGTTTTTTGTAAGTGATTTATTAACCATACGAGTGTGTTCTTCATCTGATAAATAGCGCCTTTGTGTCATAATAGACTGGAGGTGAGGCTTTCCAAAATGAAAAGGGAAGGAATAAATAAGGAATTGGATATAAATCAGACACACGAATGTTTATATTAGCACGTGGCTATTTAAAGAGCTCACCTCTGTTTACGCTCCCCCCTCACAACAGTTGATGAGTAAAGTACCGAAGTCAGGCAGAATATATCAAACTCAAGATCAGGAACCTAAAACTGTGTTCATTTTACAAGTAATGGACATAGGGTGCCATCTAGTGGTCTTCAGAAAAACGTTCCAGCTTAAAATGCATATACACATCGTCCATCCCCTGAATTCAATCTTTAGTGATGTGTGGATGGGACGCCCGGCTGTAAGAGATGTTCTTAGGGAATGCTTATATGGGACGCCCATTCAGAAAGGGTTAAAGCTGTACTTCTTTTGAGTAAACTTAATTTCCACCTGCATGTTTGCAAACCTTCGATGAAGGAAATTGTTATATGCTAATATGAGTTCTCCACTTAATTGAAACACTTGATGAAAAACAAAAGCTTTTATTGGATATTTATTATTGGAAAAAGAAGAATAAATACTTTAGCATAAACCCCTGTTAAAAACTGTGCATTTTTTTTTGTCAAAGTCAAGAAGGTTAATTAGAATGCTTTCTGTCACAAATCATTGTATTGTTAGACTAAGAAAAGTGCTTAACAATTTGTTCTGGTGAAATTAAACTTGACGAGTAACCAGCTCACATATATTGAAATAAAATGCATACTCCCCAAACTGTAAAATTTTTTTATATTTTTTTTATTAATTGATTTACCTTGGATGTATGTATATATTGTCATTTTTATCAAAATAAGATTACTGCGATTTATAAAATTAGACTGGTACAACTATCTTTAGTCAAAAGCTAATTTGTAATGTTATATCTTTAGTCAGAAAATAATTCATAATTACATTACTTCATGTATAAACTCATTTTGGAAGTGTAGTTGCAATTATAATTTTCTTAAAAGTTTTCTTTTTAATCTGTGTTATTTATCCTTGAAGTCAGAACCTTTGTATTTAAGTTTTTTTTTTTTTTGCTTGATTTTACATTTTGTTTTAGTATTTACCTCATTAGAAGCCATCTACTAATGTCATATTTTATAACCTAATATTATTTATTTAAATGCACAATAAAAAGACTTCATTTATTATAATACATTTCTTGTTTGAGATATGTATAGTACATAGTCCAAAATCCAGACCTTTGGACAACTTGGAAAATTCTTTTTCCTTCTAAAGTCTAAAAATGGAGGATATAATATTCAAGAAAATGATGGTATGTTGTAAAAGGAATATTTTCCTGACTGAGACTTCCGCATGTTACTTTCAAACACCTGCTGGCTAATGAATCACATCATTGCCAATAGCAATACATTGATTGATGTCAATGGGAGTACTTTCAAGCCCCTGAGTGGTTGTGGGGCTTAGTATTTTTCTGTCTGACCTAAACAACATGTGAAATTCCAAGTCATATTTGTTTGAAGTGAGATGTTGCTTATACTAGCTTTCTTTTGTTGACATAGCAGCAGTGAAGGAAGAAAATTAGATTTCAAGAAACTTAAGTGCAATTAACATAATACGTTATGCTTTTCCTAAGCTTTCAAATTTGATCCAGCATATAGTTTGCAAGCTTTTATTATTACAGCTGTCTTCTCAGAATTGGAATTTGAATTTTTGATTATTTTGAAAAGAGTCTAATTCTGGAACTGCAGTAAGATCTATAAAGTATGTTGAAAAACTAGTCATTTCTGGCAATATGTTTTCCAAAATAGCTTGGCAGCTTCTGCAGAATGTGCCCCAACTTGTGACAAAGATTTCAAAGCGAGACTAACGATTTCAGCATGTGCAGATGTTGCAGGAATGCACAAATGTAAGCTTTTCTTATCGGGAAAATGTAAATGACATTTTCTATTTAAAGGAATAAAGATTTTCCCCATTATCCATCATTCAAATGAAAGGAGTGCAGATGATAACATTAATGATTATTAATGATTAGATTAATAAGCATTAATGATTTATTTGAAAATGATTACATATCCAAGGCTTGGCGACATTTGAAATCATTTGGTTTACTAAATGATGAAATTGTCATGATTATAAATAACTGTTTAGTGCATACTTAACCTATTGATGATCATCATGAAGTTCAGCTCACGTTCCAGTTATGCACCTTATTGGGCTACAAAGAACATGGTTCGCATAATAAATTAACAACTGACAGATATTGTGCATATTTGAGAAGAAAGAATTCCTTAATCACACAGCCACTGAAGGGTTGAAGTTTTGGTAAAAGTCAACATCTTTATATTATTCTTTTCTCCATACTATATTTCACTATTATTCTGAGGTAGTGACCCTCATTTACTTCCCTCTTCTTTAGAATATTCTCTCCTGCCCTGAGCAACCTCTTAAATGGTACGCTTCTCTGCCAAAGGGATATATTAGCCACCATAATATAAAGCTGCCTTTCAGCCAATGGATTGAATCGCAGATATAAAGTAGTCTCTTTAAAATCTCTGCTAAATTTTCTAAACAGGGGCTATAGTATTAAAAATGTTTTGAACTATTTTAACATCAAATCTGCTATGTGGAGATTTGCAGCGCCATAGGAGGATGTGTCTGCAGTTATATATAAAAAAAGTGTTTGTTGTAATTTAGAGCCAGCTACCACATTTCATCTTGATGGTTATGAAGGCCACAAACTTAAAGATTTTCAGCTATCAACGAAAAAGAGAAATCTTCCAACTAATAATTTGTGAAGTATGAAGAAGTTGTGTTAAATGAAAGTTGTCTTCCACTGTGATGACAGTACCCCAGTCAAGTAATGGATGGTAAAAATCTATTGAATGGTTTTTAAATCCTGTAAATATCGATATTGATAGTGAAGAAGGTGACAAAGAAGTTGTGGTGAGTGAAAAACTTTTGATCGCTTGTTTAGTAGGGATTCTTTGCACACACGACTTCAACAATCGAACTTTGTAACTGAAGTAGAAAATTATGTTTATCTGTAAAATTAAAGTATTGGCACAAAAAGAAAACAGCTTGAACAACTTATATTGAAAGAAAGTTTTAATAAAAAATGCGAATGTATGTAGAGCTTTTTCGTTAGTTTTGATTCCTGGTCATAAATGCTTCCTTGTTTCATAAACAACTTTTCGCAATTTTAATTTCATAATTCCTGCCTCTCGTCATATCTAATTTAAATTGATGATCTAAAATCTAGAATCACCAAAGTCTGGATAGTTCTGGATCTTGGCTCTTGTATTTATTATATATAAAGGGAAAAACTGATAAAGTTTTAACCCTCTGAGTGGCACGACTTTTTGATTTTTCTCATGAAGATCTGTATATAAATAGCATTAATTAGCTAATTTTAAATAATTACTTATTTTAGTGTTTGTTTTCATAAACTTGCATTTATTAAACTGATATTTATATCATTAAAGAAAGTAAAAAATAAAAAATTATAAACTAAATATATACCAAGTGAGAAAAAGATATCATGACCTGGTAAAGGCAGTCATGCCACTTAGGGATTTAAAAAGGCATTATGTTGTATTTAAAATGTACAGAAATAAATAACTGTTAAACAGTATATAATCTAACATTTTAGGTGGCAATGGCGAATGTTGTTCATGTTTCTGATAATTTACTAAAATTTAAATCTCAGCTGTATGGGCAGTATGTGAAACTTTCATCTGGTCCTGTTGGTTCTATAAAGGTAGGAAAATCTTTATGAATAATAATTTTCAAAGTTTACTAATCAAATGTATATTAGGAATATGTGTGATTAATATTGTTTTCACTGCGAACAATTGAAAAAAAAACAGTTTCTTTTTTAGTTAGCTGAATAAAATTCCTCACTTTTTTAAGTAACATATTTTTAGTGTCTGAAAACATTTACTTTTGCAAGGATTTTTTTCGGGATACCGTATTAATTAACAAAATTATAAATTAAAGAATATTACACACAGGTTGATCATAACAGACTATTGCTAAATGGCATTAAATGGGAGAAAAATCAACCTGGAATTATTTCATTTTATTTTTTAACTGAACTCTTGAGGGAAGTTGAAAAAAGACAGAAAATTCCCAAATTTTGAAGTTAAAATATGGCAATTTTTGTCATACGAAAATCAAATGTTCTGTTTTTTTAATAAGTTTTGCTAATTATACAAGGGCTGTTTTTTCTCAAGCTCCGTTGGATCATAAAAAAGAATAAAGAAAAATTAAATGATTACCATATGTTATGCATAAACATGATTACTTTTCGACCAAATCACCATGAAGTTACAGGATTTGTCATATTACTGGGTGAGCTTTCTGGTCCCTTCTTTAAAGAATGTTGCTGCCAGTGATGTGAAATGGACCTGAATGTTTTGTAGCTTCTTATTTGTCTGTAATCTTTGGTGTCCTATTATCCAGTTTGTCCACTCAGTGTTAAGTAGGCGCTGTATGCCAAGTGATGAAACCCATTCCATTTAAGCTACTACAGAACCTGTTGGGTTATCGCAGCATTATGAGAGTGGGTAGTGTCATGAAGGCATACAAGTTCAGAACTCGGTATTTATCTGTTGTTTTGAATGTTTGAATATTCAGGCCTAGCTCACATCACTGGCCGCAGTGTTCTTTGAAGAGGTGATTAGAAAGCTTATTCAGTGGTATGACAAATGCCTGAATTTTCATGGTGACTTTATTGACTAGTAACAATGTTTGTATGTAACTTTTGGTAAAAAATTCATTTGTTTGATACTCTTCTCTTTTTTTTATATATATATTCTATTGGAGGTTAAGAAAAAGGCTTTCATACATACAGGGGCCCATATAAAAACATTTCATAATCTTTACCAACTTTTTTTAATTTTACAGTGCTGAGGATGAAGTCTTTTGAAGTGATTTTGCCATTGAAAATATAATAAAAGTTCTTTTTGTTAGCTTTTATTGTGATTGAGAAATTTTCCTTCATATAACAATGAGCTCATTCATGTGCTTAAGCATATCATGTAGTGCTGGTTGCTTTAATATTATTATTATAAATTTGCAGTTTAGTTATTAGAAATTGATCTCATTTGAACCGAGTAACACATAGGACATTTTATGCTGTGTGAATTTTTGCAGGAAAAGCCAAAAAGACTGCAGCATTAACCTCTTCACTGTCGATTCAGGCAGAATGAAGTTCCCCTGTTGGCTCATTATTTTCTAGCACTGAATATTACTGTGCCTGAGTGCATATTGCAGTTTAGTGCAACATGGAAAAATAATTCCCATAAAATCTGATTTTTATTGAATATTTGAATTTTTGAACACGTTATTTCATCTAATATATAGATAAAATTCCAATATTTTGAATAAAAATTAATTAAAAAAGTAAGTTAAATTGCAATATTTGTAGTGGTGATTATATTTGCATATTTAAATTATTTCCATAGAGTAAATGAAGCAAAATCTTAAGAATTTAAATACCTGAGCCTATTATATCCTATTGTCACATTTATATTCAAAATTTTAAACCACTTGCAGTGTAAAAAAGATTTCTAAACTCTGATTACACATTGTATACAACATGTGTTTTATATTTGTAGACTAAAATAGTAAACATTACTCGTAACAAAGTTAACACTAAAGACATTTCATTTAATTAAGTTTCATGGAATTTTGACATCTCATTTGTGCACATTTAAGATGCCAAATAAAATGTTCCATTTCAGCATATCAAATATGATATGGAGGGCCGCCAGTGACACTTTGCTTCCATATCACAATTAATAAGGTAAGTCCTTGGGGAAACTGAAATGTATCCTAAAATAGTGAATTTGAAAATGTGCAGAAGTGGTTTGTGATATTTTAAAGTTGCAGTTTTTCTTTACGAGAATTTTTGGCAAATTTTCACAAAGGCAAATCTTTAAGGTACCCTTTCTTAGATATGATAATTATGAAAGGGTGATAAGCAAAATTTTCATTTTCAAAAACAATGATTGTCAGCCATTGACACTATTCATGGGAGAAGAGTTTTAATTATGTTTTTAGTGAAGCGAAAGAATCGCGCTTCATTACGATCTCAGACTACATGAAACAATGAACTCTGAAGTGTAATGTGTACAATTCACTGATCTGTGTAGAGAAATTGCAGTAAGACTGCCTGATGTATGTATCACCAAATGTATGTTTACCATTTCATGACTAGGTATGGTCTGGTTCTGCACAGAATACTCAACAAAATATGAGGCAATTTTGTCAGAAGCTCTTTGCTGAACTATCTTATGCAAAGCATAACTGCTTTTTATTACTATTTTTTCCAGTCATTGCCACATATTTTAGTTGATAAAAAATTAAAAAACATTTGATTATGAGCAACAGGGTATCAGTTACTGTTTAGACTCTGAAAAACATCCTTTTTTCAAAAATGGTATTGGCAACCTTGTTTCAAAGTAAAGGTTATAGACAGGTTATGTTTATTACACAAGGTTATAGACAATCACAATGATTGCATTTCTTACTGACTTTCAATGCTGTGTTGCTGATGCAACTTCAGAGTTCGCCTTTAAAAACAGCAGAAGTTTTAGAATGACCATTTAGTCATATATTTTATTTTGTGCATTAAAATTCTTAAAGATATGACATGTTTAGAGTGGTGAATTTCATATAAATTAGTGTATCAGAAAATGGCAGCAAATAAAATGTGTGTTGAAGAAATGTGTTAAAATATTCTGTATTGACACACTAAGAACTGCATTTAAAAATTAGTAAGTTATGAGCTTTTGCAGATGGCCCATCTGCTTCGTCAGCTGGGATTGGAATGACGGGGCATATATGTTGTCTATGAAAGCCCCTAATGTACTAATGCTTAAATGTGCCTTTTAACATGTCAACTTGGAATATTTTATTTTGTTTTAATTAAATGAAATCTAATTAATGAGCATATATTTTTAGCATGATTATTACATTCTTGAATTAATGATGTACTATTTTTCTTTCTACAGGATAATTTAGTTTATATATTTATTAGATTGCTGGGTGTTTTTGAAGGCTTACAATACAGAGTCCAAAATGCAGATGCATAATATCTAGACCTTTCGACTATTCGCCCAATAAATAAAATAAATCCCTCCTACAAAGATCTAGGAATGGAGAATATTAAACTCAATAAAAAGAAGGGCTGTTCGGTAATATCTCTTCAATGCCGTTGTGTGTTGTCCGTTCAGGCGGCAATCCCAAGCTGAATATTTAAACTCAATAAAAAGAGGCAGGCTATAATAATACCATTTTTTCTTCTCACTAGCTGAGTTTCCTTCAATTCACTTTCATACACATGCTGGCTGGGGAGTCACTCCATAAGCCAGTAACAGTACATTAATTGATGTTGGATAGGATGACACTTTTGGACTTAGGGAGGGGCAGAGCTGGTCTATGCATTTAGCCACCCGGTGCAATCTTCTGCAAGTCCTAAATTCTTTTGCCTAGTACCTTCTTAACCCCTTAATCTACAATGACAGCATAGCCTGCATACGATGGTCGGACCAAACCTAACTTTCACGGGCATAGCCCGCGTGTGGGGCCCAGAAGCGAATATTACATGTAATATTTGATACGCAATTACAGTCTGATGCAATAATTGTGGTAGAGATGCAAGTATTACAAAATGTTTATTTTACATTTTGTAATACTTGCATACTTCCAAAACTCCAAAATTCAAAATTAGTAATCTGTAACAGTATGATATATTTCAAAGCATTCTGGTACATGTAACGGAAACTTTACACTTTTTACACTCGTGTTCTATGTGAATTTTCTCGTACTTGATCTGCATACTGATTTGTTTTGGTTACAATATTGTTCCAAACTATGTCATCAAATATTAGATTAAATATATCAAATTCTCCTCTACTTCTTCCTAACTGACATAAGGCTTCCTCTCTTATACCAGGAGTGGCCCACTAGCGGCCGAGCGGTAAAAGTCGCTGAACACTGGTAGTTCAGTCACAGGTTCGAATCCTGCAAACGGGCTGGCTGCATGGATGTTTTCGTGGTTTTCCCCATGTGTAATGTGTATAGGAGCCAGTTTCCCTTAGAAAGTCCTCCATGAAGGCATCCCTCCCCTTAATCAGATAGCCCTCGAGGCTTTGCCATAATCACACACTCACTCACTTATGCCAGGATTCATCATATAGTCCCAGATTTTTAGACTATTTCTTATTTCTTTCCAAAGCCAGGACTCTGGTAGTTAATTGTCATTGGATGTATCATCAATAATTATTCGCCTATACTTTGTTCGAAAATTACATAATTCGTCATGTTTACAATTGCCCGGATTAGCGTGTTAAACAAGTCGTGCAAATGTCCCGAATGTTGCGTGAGCTTGTATACAATTTTGGCCCAACATTTTTGAATCTAAATCGTAGGTTAAGGGGTTAAATTATGAAACATTTCCCCCCTCTTAAAATTCTGCTGCCAGGTCCTGTTGTGAATTATAAAAAATTTTGCCATCCTTAATTTTTGCTGCTCTTTGGTCCATTAAATTTTAAAATTTTTGCTGCTTCTAAATTCTGCTGCCAATATGGACACAATGGCTTTAGCATCAGCCCTTTTGGGGTGTTAGCATTTTTCTATCTGATCTAAACAATAACAGAAGCCCTATTGTTGCAGTGTGTGTATGTCATCTGACTGAATTTAAACTAATGATCTAAAACAGGAGCCGGCAAAATTTTTTTTTTAGAAAGAGCC